ATTATTAATTTTCGATTGACCAAGTTTGTGGTGTATTAGTCAGGAACGACTTTAATTCTAATTGATACTAGACACTGAGATTAATTTCAGAAAATTTCTCCCCTTCCCTTATAAAAGGTAAACTACACCCTAGATCGCAAAACTTTAGGCGTTATATTATTTTTATCATTGAATTTTAGTTGCTCTAATTATAGCATTAAATTTTAGTTTTGACTTCAATTATACTATCAAATTGTTAAATTTCAATTACACGATAACGATATGAAAAAAAACAATGTCGTTTTGGCGCGATTGTTGATGTCTAAAATGACAACGTTTTAAACACTAAACTTTAAGGTTTTATCGATTTTTCTACTAACTTTTAAAAGATCAACTTTAGGCACTAAACTTTTCCAATCGTCGTTGGTAGTCAATTGTCGCCCGTCATCGGTTATCTTTTGTAGCAAGGTTGATATCAAAATGTTCGTATTTCACTCTTTCTTCTCTTAAAATTGATTTTCTACGAAAAACACTCAAATTCAACGAAAATCCTTTTAACTGTTCGACGTGCTAATAATCTGATCTCCTCCGATGACCGTTCAATGAAACTAGTTTTGAGGCATGTTGTCCATTTTCTTGAAATTATGTTTCTGACCGTTCAGGTTTTTAAACAAGCACCCCAAACCCCTCAAATCTAAAAAAGCCCTAAATCCCTAAAACATGGATTTTTTTGGTTTAATTTGACCTATTTTGAGTTGTTTTTTGTGTGGAAAATCAATCCTAGGAAAGGAAAGATGAGTGAAATGCAAACGCTTTGATACCGATCTTATTGCGAAAGACGATTGATGACAGGTGGCGATTGGCTATAGTTTGCGGCTGAAAAAGTAGAGTGCAAAAATGCGAATTGTTTAAAAGTTTAGTGATAAAATTAATACACCCCTAAAGTTCAATGCTTAAAATAACGTCGTTTAGGCATCAACAATCACACCAAAATGATGTCGTTGTGTCCATGTCATCACATTGTTTGGATTTTAACAGTTCAATGATATAATTGGAGCAATAGAAAAGTTTAATAATACAAACGGTATATCATCTAAAATTTAATAGTATTGATGCATTTTACCTTACTTGACTTTAAAGTGTTAATAATTATTATTAGTATTCTGAATTAAGCTGATTTTGTTGGGATTATAAGATATAAATATTTTGCCGTATTTTATGCTATTATGGGAAGAAAGATGTATATGAAAAGAAAAGCATGAAAAATCTTTGAACAAGAATCTCGATCTCTAAGACTAACGAACGAAGTGTACAATGGAATAGAACAGAGAATAACCTTTCTAAAGTGTTAAAAGTTTTTCCAAGTAATTAAAAGAAATAAGAAACAAAATCAGCTAAGATTCAATCCCAGCAACATGCACCAACATGACTGTACTGGACTCTATACCCTTTCCAATTCATCAAACATTATATCTTTATGTAATCAGTGACAGGTTCAGAAATATTATTTTGGAATAAGCATGTATATATTAATAATATAAACTTTTTGTATGAAATGGACATAAATAAAATCCATGATGGACACAATCAATAAAATAAATAAATAACTGAAGAAAAATCGAATCTCAAGGTGGACATGTGCGCATCCTCAACTCAATACGGATCTACCACGGTATGCAACTATAAAAGGGAAATATAATAAGGACTCGTAGTGTAATTTATGCATATTGTAAGGATAGAAAATGTAGAACCGGCTCTGTTACAATTTGCTTTGAAAATATGTTGGGTGTAGTGGAAAAATAAGACAAGAAAAAGGCAGGAATCATTTTTAAGATAATAGGAAAAACTGCCTTTTTTTTGGCGTAAATCATGTTGAACCAAACACACTTTAAAAGTCATAAGAAAGCTTGGGAATAAAGTTCCAAAAAGAAACACAGTTAAACATAGAATAACCCTTTTAATTCTTTGAAAAAACAATTCATACATTTAAAGGAATACTACTTTTTATCATAGTAAATCTCTATCCGCTCTCTTCTATTTTTTTTCTATTTTTCTTTAGGGTTTGTAGATCAGATCAGCTTTCTTTTTACTTTGTTTAGTTCGCGGTGTCATCAGTTTTGATGTTGATTGTCAATTACGATTTTTTTCTTTTTTAGTTTTTTAATAAGTATAATTCTATCTTTGTGGCATGTTTTTTGTCTTCTTTCTCGATCGTTTGATCGTTCTTTTTATTTTATATTTTTTTTGGGTTAGATTTGATGATGTCACAATTGATTAAGATAACGTTTATTTGTAATCATGTTATATTCCCTGCTATGGACCCTTGGATTGAATGTAGATACACGATCATGGATAGTTTCTCACGACGCTCAGCTTTGAATTATGATACTCAGTGGTCTTTCAATAGCTTAATTTCTTTTTGTGGTTCGTTTACCGATGCATTCAGATTTGTTCGTATCTATTTTTCGTTCGAATCTTTTGATTGAGTTTTTAATCTTTTCTACGTATGGTCCTTGTATAATCTAAAGTGACTAGTTTTAATGTTAAAAGAAAATATCTAAATTATGTATTTAATTTACGATGATAATTGTAAACTCTTATCGTAATTTAAAATATTTTTACTTTTTAATAATGTTAAAGGCTTTTATTAAAAAACGAATACTTTTGATTGTCCATGTGTTGCACATTACTTTATGGTTTATATTTTAATTTAACTTTGGATTACTGCTCTTCTTTCTTTAGTCTTGGACACACTAAAACATATAATAACCCTTTTGTGTCGCACATAAAAATTCATACAGATAATAGTGTTTAGTTCATGGAAAATATTATTATTAAGGGAATAATTTTTTTAAATTGTATTCTCACGTTTGATTCAAGGAAATTCAGATAATAAATTATTATTAATGGTAATATTGTTTTTTAATTAAAATGTTGTAAATGTCATTACCATATCCATACTATATAATACATGATAAATACCAAAAAAAATTAAGGAAAAAATGCATAACATGACTATCCTAATAATAAAGTGATATTTGACATTTTTATTTAGAATTCCTAATTATATATATAAACCAATAACACGACTGACAACTACTAAAATAAACTTTCAGGTGTCTATAAAGGAAGGTAGGTATCAGCAAGACAACAGTAATTGATATGGAAATGGTCCAAATGGAAGTACTGCAAAAATTCTCCTGCTTTTGGGATCTTTTTGACAAGCTAACCAAGTTTTAGATAATGTTGATCATTATCATTGGTGCCTAAATTTTAGTTATCTATTATTAGGAATGATGTATAATTTTAAGGGATAAATTTTTAATTATATAATAATTTAAATTTTTTAAGAAAGTGATTACCTCTAACCCTCGATCCCTCTTGGTTCATCCTTATTTATTACCTTGCAGCACCCATGGTGAACGTGATATATGTCTCTGATAAATTTACCAGATAAATTTACATTCATCCAATTTATTTCTCTTGTATACATTTTAAAAATAAATAAATAATTTTAATCATAAAATATTATTCATCCACTTATATTAAATTAATATAAATATTTTTAGATTTTAGATTTTCTAAACAGATTATATAAACACATGTTCATAGGTAGTATGGACAGAACATTTTCTCCCTGCTACAACGCCGCTGGAATATCTTTCAATCGAATGTAGGTACAATATATTATTTTTAAAACATATAAAAAATTAATTTTATGCTATATATATATATATCACCTTGTTTGAGGAATTTTATTGTAGTGTTTTTGCATGGATGTGGACAAAATTAGATACGATAGCTACTCAGATTTGAGGGGGAGAGAGTGGCGACTTTTACCTCTATTTAGTGGATTACAAAAGCGAAGTGATGGATATGGAAAAGTGAAAAATGTAGACAATAATTTTTAGGTACAAATGATATGAAGGAGTAGAAAAGAGAAGACAAAAAAGGGAAAGTCAATATTTTTTTCACTTACAAAAAAAATCATTCTAAGTTGAAAAATAAATGAGAGGGTGATGATTTAGTGTAGAATATTTGCAAAATTAAACATGTTACAAAATTGTAATTATAAAACATATATTCATATGATTTAATTAAAATTAATTAGTCAATCATCGTTAAAATAGGTAGTTAAAAGCTCTAAATTGATACATCACCTCTTCTCTAGGTTGTGGGTTTAGTACTCATTAGGATCAAAATTTCCTTTCCTCTCCTCTAGATAAGAATTGTTAAAAAAAATAAAATTAATTAGAATAATTTACAAATGAACTTACACAAATAAATAATATATTTACACAATTATTATTAGAATTAATAAAATAAATAAATATATAAATTAATAGTCAATTTATATCTGAATTTAAACTAAATAACTCTACTCTTTTTCTCATGTCAATAAAATTAATTAGCAAGTAAATTGGATGTGTCTGGTGTGATTATATGGGTTAATATTTGTTTAGAATTTCTTTTTAGTCATTAACAACACATACATATTCTTAAAAACTCAGTTTCTTGAATTCAAATCCCCATAGAGAATAACATTTCATTTTATCACTGAAATCACTTAATTAAATTCATCCATTATTACTTTTTTAATAAAGATATCCTAACCTAGGAATATTGTAAATATATTATATGTTAAAAAATGATTAATATTTTGAAATAATAAATAAATTCAGCATTTTTTTTCTTTTACTCAATTTTTTTTATACCATTCTAGCACGATTTGTATCCCACCGAAACCAATTTAGGTTTTAGAAATGAAAGGAAAATTACCGAATTTGTTATCATAATTTCGCGTTTACTGCTGTATAAAACAGTAAACCAAAACAACAGTGCATGCTGGTTGAGTTTGCTAATAATATCTCGAGTTGCGCAGCCACAACTTGCAAGAAGAATACAGTTCACTTTCACAACTATATATATATATATATATATATATAGGAACCCTCAAAATCATAAACTCATAGTTCAAATTGAATTACCTTTTCAACCACATCTTTCCTATTTCTTCTTCAATGGGTTCCATTCCAAAGTTCTACACTAATTATGCATTTTCTGATGATTTTTCTCAGTTTCCAAATCCACAGACAGTTCCCCAAGAAAATTATACAGCTGGTGCTGATGGTGCAATAATTCCTGGTTCAACATGGGGTGAAGAAATCAGTTTTCCAATGCTTTTAGACAACGGCGGGATCGATGTTTTTCAACAAGATTATAATCTAACAGCTCCGGTCCCGAAAGCATTGTTTCCCGAAGTAATCGGGATTTCGTCAGACTTCGATGTCCCGACAGCATTGCCTCATCAAAATAACGTTGCTGCAGGCTTTTGTGGCATTAATGGAACCATCCCAAATTTTGGTGGAAGATATCAATTGCAAGATGTCTATGAGTTTGGAGAAGAATGCACTGGATTTTTTCAGCAGGAATCCAAGCCAGTTGATCCAAGAATGGGACAAAATTGGGTAATTCTTCTTTCTTTCTTTGATGTATGCATTGCATGGTTTCCTACAATTTCATGAAGCGTAGTGTTTTGGGGTACTTATTGTTCTTATCGGCCATTTCGTTCTTGTAGCAGGGAATTCAAGGGAATCGAATTCGGCCGGCCATGGAAGAAAGCAATCTTAAGGTTGGTCGGTATTCGGTAGAAGAGAGGAAAGACAGAATTCTTAGATACTTGAAGAAGAGAAATCAAAGGAACTTCAACAAGACTATTAAGGTCTGCCTTCGCTAATATTCTCAGATATATATACGAAAGGATTAACGTTGTACATTGACTGATGTATTCCATTGATTGTATATATACAGTATGCTTGCAGGAAAACCCTAGCAGATAGAAGAGTTAGAGTCAGAGGGAGATTTGCAAGGAACACTGACCTTTTCGAAGATCAAGAAATGGTATTGAAAAAGGAAGACGAGAATTCACCTAATGATCACAAAGCCTTGTATAATTGCTATGAAGCAGTCCAGGTATATATCTGTCTTTTCATATATTAATGTATGTATATTATATATGGGGAAGAAGATAATGAGGTTGAGGCAAATAATGATGTTTGTTTTATGGTTTTGCAGATGAAGCATGATGAGGATGATTGGCTGCAAGCGGCAATGGCAAATCTAATGTATTTACCATATATTGCTGGTTGATAAATATATGTTAGAGGTAGCTTGTATATCTAATGGATTTACTAATGAAAAACTCTCGCAACAGAGATCTCTCTTTCAAACTGTTTGTTCTTAATTCATCTTATTCTCTTATACAAAACAAAGAATTTGCTAGTTGGTTCATGCAGTTCTCTTATAAGATAATTTATTAACTTTGTCAAGAATTTTAAACACGAGTATGATATACTTCATGTTTATTCAAAATTATTTAGACTAAAGTAATAAAAAATTAACCACGTCAAAAGGAAATATTAAAAGTGTTTACTTGACTGCAAGCTTATGATTGGTGAATTAAGCTAAGTAGCTGTTGAAGGGTATTGAAAGTGATTGAAAAACAATCGCATTTGATGCTAAAAGAACAAACCAATATCCTACTTTATCCATCTTTACCGGGACAAGGGTATAAAATACAATTGCAAGTCTTAATTAACAACATTAAGAAATGAACCTAAGGGGAATATATATATATATATATATATATATATATATATATATATATAATTTGATTGTCTAGTAGTGACCTAAAATTACTTTTGAGGGTGAGTACATATATATTTGTTATCTTTTTGTTCTTTAATGTTTTGGATTCTCGGATTATATTGGGATACGCAGTTTGCATTTGGAGATAGTTTTCTCATGACGCTCGACTCTAATTTACGATTATCGATGATCTATCAATAGTTTGATCATTTATTATGATTTGTTTGCCGATGCAGTCAGATATATTATTATTTATATCTTATTCAAGTTTTTGAATGGATTTCTAACAATTTCCTTGTATGATCTAAAGTGACTAATTTCTTCTGTTTATGGTTATAAGAAATGTCCTAATTATATGTTTAGTTTACATTTATGGTTGTAAAATTTCATTTTAATTTTGAATATTTTCTCTTTTTAAATAAAACTAACGGCTTCTATTTGCATTAAAAAATATAATTTTTGTATGGGTGTACAAAAATAAAATTTCAGAGTTAGACAATCAATAAAATATATAATTAACTGAATAAAATTCAGATTTTAGGATGGGCACATGTGTGGATCTACCACTATTACCTAGTTCAACTTTTTTTATATAATTTTTAAAAACATCACATTACAAAAATAAAGAATTCTAATTATTGAGATTAAAATATGGAATTGTTTTTTAATAAATAATAACATGAATTATATTAAATTAAATTAAATATGAAATTTCTTAATATGAAGCAAAGGAGAGAATATTTGACAATCTGGTCGTTGATTGTAAGATAAACGTGTGGTTGTCTAGCAATGCATAGAAGATTAACAGAACCAAAGCTTCAAAAATTCTACAATCACTTCAATTATTTGATGCCAAAATCATCACTTCATTGATTTTTGATATACCCCTCTAGGGTTTGTTCTCCAAGTCTTTTCTAAACCTCCCCACGTGATAAGCCGCCGCAATCAACAATCTTCAAATTCTTTTTTTCTTTAAACTTATCCCATCATCTTTAGTTTTCATAAATTTTGAGTTACAAATAATCTCAATTTTATTATAATATTCTCTCTTGATTTTCTATAATATTCTCTCTTAAATGTCTATAATTAAATTATGTCTTTGATAAAAAAAGTTATCTATTTATTTTTATGATTTTGTTTTGATGATTTAACTACTATTTTTTTCAAATCATACTTAAACTTACATTTTAGTTCTATTTTGATCATCTACCATTAGAAAAATAGAATTGTTGACGTGATTTTTTTTATTTTTTTAATAATGACATGAAGTTACCTTTAATTTTTTAACAATGGGTGACCAAACCGTAAATTTATGTAGGTTTTTAACAAAAAAAAAATAGTTGAGTGACCTAAATGAAACCGCAAACATAATTGGGTAGCTAAATACATAATTTACCTAAAATCTTATTAAGAAAAATTAGTGAGGAAAAAAAACCTAATAAAGGGAAAGAATATACAATATTAACATATAGTGATACAAAATAGGATAAAATACACAAATGGTCCCTGATTATAAGACATTGTCTTATTGAGTCCCATGATTATTAAAAGTTATAAAATGATCCCCTAATTATAGGACATTGCTTTGTGGAGTCCTTCAACTATTAAAAGTTATAAAATGATTACTCGACTATTCATATTTTTCAAACTCGTCTTTTTTCATTAAAAAATTAATGATGGTCTAAGTTAGACCAATTGGCTGAGATATAATAGTCGTTTGTGATTTTGGGATCAGATTTTATTATGTCATAGTCAACATATTAATGTTCAGCTCATAGTGCCATTGATATTTTAACAGAGAATGATGAGTTTAGAATATATGAATAGTCGGGTGATCATTTTATAACTTTTAATAGTCGGGGAACTCAATGAAGATATGTTTTATAGTCAATGGACAATTTCATAAATTTTGATAGTCAAAGGATTGAACAAAACAACTCTCTATAATCAGGAGACCATTTATTTATTTTACCGTTCAAAATATTGATTAAAGAAAAAAAGAGTATAACATTTCTTTTACTCTCCTCATGATAACATTGATTAACATCTTTGAGTCGTCGTATTTTTTTTTTATGGTGAACAAGAGAAAACTAAAACCTAATTAACACTCTAGTTCTCCTCTTCCTGGAGCAATGCTTTTATTTCGTCTGGTGGAGATGTCCAGACATTGCATCTTCCATCCCCTGTCCGAGCAAGGTTTGCCATTCTATCTGCAACCCGATTACCTTTTCTCGGTACATGTTTCAATTTACTTTCCAGTTCCTCTTAAGCTGCCCACTAATATGTTGATGAAGTGTGTTGCTTGCATTATTATCGTTCTCTCTTTGCAGGGTGTTTATTACATCTAAACTATCAGTTTCGAGAATAATCTTACGCGCACCTATATTGCATGCCCCTGATAATCCTTCGAGTACTCCCCATAATTCAGCTTCTACCGTCTTGCATGTGCCTATGAATTTGAAGAAACCTGTCTTCCATCGTCCTTTCTCGTCGCGTAGAACTCCTCCACATGTCGCGTATGCCAATATTTTCATAAATTGTTAGACTAAGAAAATTTCTAAAAGTGATTGCATCAAAAAAGAAAAGAAAAGAAAATTATATGCTTTCATAACTAATTTCAAGTTTTTCACAAGTTATGGGCATTTTTTATACTTTATGCCAAGTTTTTCAAGCATTGTACTTTATATGATTTCATAATTGATTTCAATCATTAGATGTATATTTTTGTCAAAGTAGTAACTTGGTGAGATCACTTGGTGTGATGGTTACATTTACATTAATTAATATTTGATACACTATCAATAGAAAGAAAGAAAGAAAAATCACAAGATTAGAATAATGTAATGTGTCATTTAAAAATGTAATATAAATAAATTAATAAGACATATATCACCATTCCAATCTTAATTAAAAGAAGTTTTTCTTTCCACCAGCTGTATATAATAATAATCCTACATGCAGAATCATGTATAAATGATATCTCCATGTGAAATTCAACAACAACAACAAAACCCTATTCCCGTATGTAATGGGGTTAGGGGTCCATGTGAAATTCAAGTGTATACTAATAGATGGGAATGAGGTTCACTCAAATGATGAAGTCTTGGGTATTTGGATCTCAATGCAACCAAGTTAACAAAGAAATAAATGAATATCATTTTCTTAAAGTTTTTATTGGAAACATTTAAAAAAATAACATAGAAATTAAGTAAGTTTAAAAGAGATGTCTTCTTCTTTGCTACTTAGAAGGGAAATTGAAAAAAGAAAAAGAAAAAGAAAGCAAATGGGTGTCACAAGGTAGCCTTCTTACAATCGTAAGAAACCACTATCCCAAAGGGCAGTGAAATGACCCCATTATTATTTTTCTTTTTCACTTTTCTCACTGATGAAAATTGTGAAAATTATTCTTTTCTTCATCAATTAATTTTGACTTTAAGTGCTGGAATTAACTTAATAATAGTAATTTCATACATGCTATTCTTACGGGGTTTTTTAATTAGTGTTATTATATATTCATTGGTCAAATAAAATATCATAACTAACGTCTTGTTATGTATATAGTAGGCAAATATATTTATGACTATCATAATTAAAATATAACAGTGAACGACCAGTGATAGCCTGATGAGCAATAATTTAAAAAGTTGAGACAATAGCATATAGACGAATCTTTCTGATGTCTCTGAGCACCGGACATAGAGGAGGAAAATCTAGAGAAAAATCAAAGCGAACGAATGAAAAATCAATCCCTCCTTAGCTGTAGTCCCATCTGACACATATTTGAAAATCAATAGAATGTTATGTAAACGAACGAATAAACTAGACATCGAGAAAGCAAGCAACAAAGAAATCTCGTAGAACTACAGACCAAGAAGAAGATCAATAGAAGAAACCTGGAAACCCAAAATCATCAATAGTCATGATACTCTTTACGAGAGAAAAGGGCCAAGAAAAATATTTTAATAAATATATTAAAATATAATTAGAAATTATCAAAAAAGTACAATCAACTGGAAAAAAAAAGATAGAAATGGCATGGAGATGGCCGGAAAGCCACCACCACTGTACAGAATGTAAAAAAATTGTGAGAACGTCCAAAAGCAAATAACTGCAACAGAGGAGAATGCAAAGGAGAAATAAAATATTTATAGTTTTAAATTAGTCAAATATTGATGTTTCGAAATAGAAATAATTTTAAATATAATATTGTATTTGTTATCGTTTTTGGTAAATTATTATTAATTTTTTTATGTATAACTTGTTATATATATTGATTAGGATCAACTTACATTTAATAGAAAACTTTTAATTTTTCAATTTTTTAGTATCGTGTAAATAGATGGTTAAGATTATCTTATTGTTTTTTTTCCCAATAGATGTATTATCATTTCTTATTGTTAATTTTAGTCATCTATTTTCATTCATCCAATTATATTAAAAATATGTAAAACTAAACTGTGTGAATGAATATATATATATATATATATATATATATAAAATTTTGAATGCAAAGTTGACTTGGCCTAATATATAGAGGTCCCC